TGCATCGGCACGGGGACGCTGGATCCGCTGCTGCTCTCCCGGCCCTGCTCAGATGCTGAGGATGAAGGAGATGGTGCTGGTCACATCTGGAAAGCCTGGTGGGGTGGAAAGAGGAGCCTGCCCTGCGGGGTCTCAGGCACTGGCCCCGCTGCCCAACAGTGGCAGACCCAGCCGTGCTCTGTCCCCCAATGCGTTGTCACTTCAGGGTGCGATTAAAGCATGATTTAACCCTGCCTCTGCCTGCAATGGTTTGTTGGGGCTCTCCCAGTGGCCATGCTGGGAGGAGGCCCCCAGCTGGGGTGTGGCTTTTTTTGCGTGCGCTTTCAAGGACCAGAAATACATTCCTCATTAACTGTGGCGGTGAGAGAAGTCTGTGGCACAACGAGCGCTCTTGTGCAAACAAATCTGTTACCTATCTGGTGCAGGCAGCCCTGGTGCATCGTCACAGGGTTTCTGTGCATGTGTCGCCAGCGTTGCTTCCCGCCGCGTCTCTTTTCTCTCTTCCATCTCCAGCAAGACCCACTAGAAAAGCACTTACCTTTCCCATGTCAGCTCTGCAGAGCTGAGCAAACCTGTTGGCAGCACCGGTTGCGGCTTCAGGCAGGCACGTATGCTGGGGTGAGACAGCCCTGTCCCCTGGCACCCATTACAGAGTCCCGTCTGTATCTCTAACCACGAAGTTGTACAAACATTATAATTTTTGCATTCGTGTCATCTTTGTGGCATGATAAACAGCACATGAGACATAGGTCACTGCAAGTTGTTTCTGCTGTAGCCGGTCGTGCCTGCGTGGGTCATGCTGGAGTTAAAAGCAGGGAGCAGCAGTGGCATTCACCCTTAGTAAGTGATTTGCAAGGCTGGTACCATCTGGCTGGGAAGATTTCCCGGGGCACAGCCCAGTTGTTACTGTCCCTGATAGCCTGGGAATCTCTCCATCATGCTCCGGATCATGAAGCATCATCACAGGGGTGGCATTTCTTGTAGCCCTGGCACACGGCTAATTCCCCCATCTCCTTCAAACCTCCATTTCACTGTAAACTGCCTTTCTATTTCTCTACTCATTAAGATATTTATAGAGCACAGTGTATACAAAAGTAAATAATACACATCAGAGAATGTAGACCAAAGGGGATGACTGACTCAGGCATTGGATGGGCGATACAGGCCAGTGACTTAAAGCACCTTCCAGAGAGGGAGCGTGCTGTTTGAAGCCATGAGGAGGAGGAGGAAAACCTGCTGGCTTGTTTCAGTGGTCAGTCAGTTTTCTCTCTTAAATGCGGTATTTCTAAACTGAGCTTGTCCTGGCTTTAGTTTTGCAGTCACTGCCTCTTGTTTTGCCTTCTGGGCTCACCTTAACAGCCTTTTACTACCTGTGAAAATACAATATATGCTGTAATTTTTGGCAATTTCTAACGACTTTCAGGTAAGATAGGAGACTTAAATCCAGAGGCTGGGAAAATACATTTCAGTTATCTGTTGGAGGGTATTTGTCGATAAGCTTTTTATCACATGAACTCATGCTAGATGCAGTATTTTGCTTTTGGTTTCAGTGATGTCTTAAAAAATGGCTTCCCAGGCTTATTTATCCAGGATCTCACTCAGTCTCATCCCTCAGTACCTAGTGGTGGGTTGCTTGTTACTTTGACCCTGCTGAGAGGCCCACCCATTTATTCTTTAATGGAGTAGACATGGCTGTTTTTCGGGTGTGCAGGGGGCCCCGGTGCCGGGGCAGCCCCTCTGCCCCCATGCCAGGCAGCTCCAGTGCAAGCGGGCAGGACCCTGGCAGCTCAGGTCGGGGAGAGCTGGGAATACAAAGGGGTCAGAGCAGAAAAGGAGGAGCCTTCTCAAGGGGGTCCCTGCGGGAAGCTGCGGAAGGACCACAGTTGAGGCTGGTGGACGAGAGCAGTAGCAGGTATGCAGGCAGACTGGTTCCAGGCTCGCTGCAGGCAGCAGCCGCCGCGAGGCTTGAGGCTTGGCCCTACCACAAGGCGAAACAGCTTCTCTGTAAACAAACCAGCTAGCACCGACATATTCAGGAGGCTTTGCGTGTGTCCCGTGAGCTCCTTTCAGGGGCACGGCAAGATCTTAGGTTCACAGAGCGGTGGTAAGGGGGACCGGCCACGTCTAGGTCCTTAAGCAGAGGGAGATGCACATGCATCTGGAGGTGGGAATCGTGTATCAGGAAATAAGTACATGCATTTGGGGGGCTGTGGTGGTGCTGGCACACTAGCTGATGAGCCGAAACCACAGCCACAGGAGGGACCCTGGGCTGTCATGGTTTCTGCCCTGGGCTCAGCCTGAGCAGAGGCCAGCTCTGCGCAGCCCTGCCACCTCCCGCTCCGCAGAGAGGCTGTCACTCAAGCATCAGCCTTCAACACGGTCGACTTCTGCAACACTTTATTATGTATTTCCACGCACAACACAGGAACTGAGAAAGCAACAAACCAGCACTGCTGCTGTAGGAGGTGAGTCAGTGACTGGGGCGGCGCAGGCTGTCCAACCGGGCAGCCAGACACCCAAACCGCCATCCTCAGAGACAGCCTGTTCTCAGCCGTTATTTCCTCAGGTTGCTGACGTGGCCCACGAGCATCCTTTTGTGGCACAATTCATGGGCACTTGGGGCGCATTTTGCAGGGGCTATGGAGGGGAGGATTCACATTGACATACAGGCAGTGTGGAGTTGGGAGTTGGGCACAGTTACGCATCTTCACATAAATGCCCAGATGTGCAAAACAGCTGCAGCCTGTCCACACCTGCAGGTTGGGGGAGCTGGGAGTAACCGCTAAAGCACTGATGCAGGCAGAGATGGTGCAGCTTGGCAAAACTGCACATGCACCGACACAGACGTGCAGAGCAGCAGCAACAGCGATGGTGCAAAACTGTCCAGCTTTGGCCTGTCCCTCCCTGTGTACGCACAGGGGTCCCTGCTGGACCTGAGGTCAAACAGCCCGGAGGGGAAGGACAGGTCTTCGCATTGCAGAGGATCTAGCACAGAAGGACCTGAGCTTAGTAACACCCTCTGAACACTCAGGCAGATTAAGAGAAGTGATGCAGAGAGAGGAGGAAACAGCAGTTTAATAAAATCTGTAGATGATGTGAAAGTGGCAGAGGAAAATGTAGAAATAACAGAGATCCAGAAAAGAAAAGCCAAAATGATGTTCCCGTACTTTGGGGAAAATAATCCAAGGCTTCGGGGGGGAGGAAAGCCCGCAGGAGCAGGGCAGGAACAGATGAATACAAAAGTGCCCTCATGCGGTCTGAGTGCCTTGGGGATGGTGTGGTCTGGAGCTGCGAAGGGATGAAGTCCTCATTGTCCAGTGTATACCCAGTGGGATTCACTGATGCTGAACTCTGACACTGCCTCCAGGTGTAACATGGACAGTGATTCATGCTGTTAACTGAGGGAATGAGCTATAGTCCTCTTCCACATAAGTTTGTTACCACATGCCAAAAAAGAATAGCTCGGTTCTTCTTCCATTACAGAGGGAATTTAGCAAATAACGAGCAAAAATAATGGCTGGGGCAGAGCAGCTCAGGTGAGGGGGAGACGGGAGCAGACAGGAAGATGAAGAGGAAGAGAAGGTTGCGCAGGAGCAGCTGTGCTAGGAGGTTAGGATCTGTGTCTATGGAGAGGGCAGGGAAATGGTTTGTGGGTCTATGGAGGAAACGAGAACTTTGACAGGTAAATTAGCCTCAAGTCACAGGAAAAGCTCCCAGGGATGAGTTGTTAGTCTGCCTCTGGGAAAGGCACCTCAGTGATAGACACCTCGTAGAGATAAAACACCAAAAAAGCTCCAGGTAAGGCCCAAGCAGTAGCAGAAGAACTTTTCTGCCCCGCAGCAGCTGCAGCACTTGGGAGACAGAAACAGCGTGGGAACACGCAGGGACTGGGATGAGCTGCAGCGCTCCAGCGGCAGCAGAGGTGCCTCTGCTTGGGAAACTCCTGTTGGAGGGCAACAGAGCTCCCCCCTCGCACCGCCCTTGCAGGGCAGCAGCCCCAGCCCCGGGATTCGGGCATCCCATCACCATCCCCCGGTGACTGCACCTTGCTGCTTGTGGCTCGCGTGGCTGGAGCACGCTGGCATGATAACAGAGCCCCAACACACAGTCCAGCACTGATAACCCATCAGGGCCCTGACACCAACACCCTTTGATCACCCCTTTGATAAACTACTGAAGATGGTGGGCTGCAAAAAGGTAATATTGGAACAGATCCTGGCATTGCAAATACAAACAGCATTTCATATGAGGTCCAGCCATGCCAGGGCTCTGGTACACAGAATCCCACGCAAATCCCACGCTCACTCTCACAGACACACAGGTGCTTTCTCGGGAGCAGCCCCTGCAGCCTCTCACCGAGCTCCCTTCGTTTGTGCTGCACGCCTGCTGACACGCAGAATATTTCCTGCCATTCATCAGCTGCTAGAGGCTCTACTTTGTTCAGGGGTCCTGCAGCCTGGGAGGGAGGGGATGCACAACACAGGGCATCACAGCATGCCTAGCGTGTGCCCACCTTCACGGGCTCAGAGGCACGAAGCGCTGGTGCCAGCTGAGACAGGGGTCCGAGCTGGCAGCTCTGCACGGAGCACAGGGTGGTTTCGTACCATCCGCAGTCACAGCCTCTCCTGCCAGGAGAGCGCATGACACAGCCCCGGGAACTGCAGGAACCAAGCAAGTACTGGGGCCCCCAGGGCTACAGGACAGGCTCACCTTAACTCTATGACAGGGGTCACAGCCGGGCGGGCAGCAGCTGTCACAGGAAGCTTTGCAGAGATAAAACGCCAGCTAGGCCAGTGCTGCACTCCTAACGTGCCAGGTCACAGAGCCCATCCGGGCACCCCAAGTCCCTGCTGTGCCGTCAGCCTGGGGCAAAGCAAATGCCAGTCATCTCCGAAAGTAGTGCAAGGCACACCGCAACGCTCACCTTTCCTTGGCAAAAGGCCGGCACAAGCCCTGCTGACGGGTCGTATCCAGTGAGGCTCATGCAGGGGTGTCCTGGGTCAGATCAGGTTGGCCATGCTGGAGGTGGGAGGAAGCCGCCTGTTAGCAGCCAGGCGGCCAGAGATGGTGAAGACACGGATCTCGCCGGTCTCCAGGCTCCGAGGAGCAGCCTGGCGGCAGGAGGTGCAGAGCAGGTAGAGCAGCAGGCAGAGAAGGATGGCACTACCAGCAGTCAGGAGGACAACCCCGCTGGTGAACATACTGGCCAGCGGCCGTGCAGGGCTGAGCTGCATGGTCGTGGTGGAGAGGATGGTGAGCACGACCCCGCAGACCACCAGCACCAGGGCGCTCAGCAGCAGCACCAGGCAGTCTGAGAAGCCCCCGCTCTTCAGGAGCTCGATCTGATCCCGGCTGCGGATGCAGTTCATGTCCTGGATTGCAGAGCTCAGCAGCTGCTTCAGCAGCACGAGCAGGGCCAGGAGGCAGAGCGTGGTGCCCACGGCCAGCCGCCACTCCCCAGACCGGCTGCTAGTGCTGTACAGCAGGATGATGCCCCCAATCCCGCAGGCCAGGATCAGCACCACAGCCATCCCGTAGCACAGGATGGACTTCTTGGGGTCCTGGAACCACCAGAGCTCCACATGCTCCTCCAAGATGTTCCTCTGGATGTGGTCCGCGTCCGCAGGGGTGCGGGGGCTGCTCAGCTCTGCCAGCTCTGGCATGGTGGGTGGCTGGGTGGGGAGGGCACGGTGCAGTGGTTGCACAGATGAATCTACACCCTTACAGCGAAGTGGAGAATCAAGGCAGCAGCGGTTGCGAAGGCAGCTGCATTTCTCAAGCGGGGATGCCTCTGTCTCATTCTTTGGAGCCTGGTGGAGCTCCCTTCTGCAGCAGTGCCACCTGGAGAGCTATGGTCCATGCACTGGGGCTGAGCCCACCCGCCAGGCAGGGCTGCAGGACATGGTGGAGCATCCCCAGAGCAGCACCATAAGGGAACAACCAGGGCTGTGTCCTTCCTTTCCTGTGTCTTTCATCTGAAAGAGTCAAGAAGAGAAGATAACATTAAACAGAGACTCTGCTCCCCTTTACCAAACAATCCCCTGCCAAACCCTGGGCCTTGGTTGCTCCAGGCCGGCCTGCGGACCTTCCCCTGCCTCCCTCACAGAAGCGCCGTGGGTTAGAGCACAGATCAGCCACACACATCTTCCCGGGAGACCTCCACAAACTGTGGGGGGACTTCAGACTGCCCCAAGGGCGAGTCTCCTGCCCCCCCAGCCCCGTGTGCCTGCTCAGAGGCTACTGGCACATCGCTGCCAGCAGGACTCTGCCTGCAGCTGGTGCTGGCAGCAGGGCAGGGACGGAGCAGAGGCAGGTCCCTCCTGGGATAAAGCCCCATTCAGAGCTCTGGCTTCACATGCTCCCTCATCAGCATCAGTCTCTTGTCACCAACTGGCTCTGCTGCCCAGAATGACAGCGAGAGGTGGGGGTCAGGACAGGGGCTTAACCCTTCCAGTCCAGTCACTGGAAGAGCGAGAGCTGCCCTTGCTGCATGTCCTCAGCCCTGTCCCTACCCCTGCACCACCAGCAGCCCCCTCTCCCAAGTCCCCTACAGAAACGTGATGGTTACATCTCCAGTGGTCTCAGCACTTCCCTGGAAAGAGTCCCCAAACAGCTGGGACCTGGCATCCTGCAATTTTGCTCTCCTCTCTGCTCCTCCTGGTCCCTGAAGCACTTCTTCACCACTGGAGGAGAGCAGGGGAAGGGCAGTGGTGGCTGCAGGGTGGAGGCAGGCTCCGTGGTGCTGTGCTTAGCTGGGCTCCCCTTGGCACAGCACCTTGTCTCAACCTGCAGCCTGGCTTCCTGGGCTCATCACCTCCCCAGCGTCCTGGCTCCCTCAATGCGCTCAGTGGTGCTGTGCTTAGCTGGGCTCCCCTTGGCACAGCACCTTGTCTCAACCTGCAGCCTGGCTTCCTGGGCTCATCACCTCCCCAGCGTCCTGGCTCCCTCAATGCTTCTCTGGGTACAGTTTTACACCAAGAGTGGAAACCACTTGCATTTCTCTCACATAACCTCCTGTCCTGGCATGTGAGCGCTCCAGCTGGTCCCACAGTGCCAGAGGGACCCTCCAGCACAGCTGGTACCCAAAGCAAGAAGAGGCACTGGAGAGGATGGCGTGGGAGCATCTCAGGTACGGCTGAGCCCTTGAGACATGGGGCAGACCCTGCAGACCCCCGAAATGCCTCCCCAGTCACCTTCCAGTCAGGACGATGCACCCTGGGCCATCATGGGCAGAAGCCCATGGCAGGGACAGGAACTGATGCAGATCCCCTCTGTCAGAGCTGTGTCACTTCTCCCAGGTGGGAGGACAGCCACGCAGCACCCCACCTGCTAGAAATGGCTCTCCAGGAGCCCATCAGCCCACGCCAAACACACTCGGCTCGTCTCTGTGCCCTGCTCCGCACGGCGCTGGGACTCTGGGCTCATTATGGATGGGTGGGGATGATTTGTGACCTCCACGCACGGCAGCTCTGCACATATCAGGGATCTTTCCTTCCACAGCTCTCCCTGTCCTCAGACAGTCTCCACAGACCACATCCCCTTATGGCAATGCCTTTGCTACCAGCAAACGCCTCAAAATCCCCCTCCATCGGGGACAAGCCAACGTGGGGTGGGGGGAGTGAGAGGACAATAGTGTGGGGGTGCCCGAACCAGACACCGCCTGACAGTGTCAGGCCAAGCTCCTCCTGAGTCACTCCCCGGCTGTGATGGAGCATGAAGTCACTTTGGACGTAGCTCAGGGCATGCTGCCAGCTGGCAGCACGTGTCCAGGAAGTCTCTAACCACCACGGGTTTGCAGGCCCGGGACCCATCGCACCGTGTGAGCTGTGCACTGTGCTATTCCCCCGCACGGCTGCTGGTGCTTGAATTGCCTGGGCAGGGAGCGGGCAGGGACATAGAAACCCAGGCTACGGAGGGTACACTTGCCTGGAGGCCCGTGGGAGATCTGCAGCTCCTGGCTAGAGCCAGAACAATCGGAAAGCATCAATTAGAGAGAAAAAAAAGCTGTGGTTGAGCATACTGATTTGTGCCTGCTGGGACCCACTTCGATTTTGCATGAGACAGCAGATACCTTGCGCTGTCCGCATGTGCCCAGGACACAGGTCCCCGAGAAGGTCAGGATGTCGTGGGGCACTTTCAAAGTAGAGGGGTAAGAAGATATTGAGCCTAGAGGCATTTCCCCAGCCTATGCAAACCAGCTTGGTGCTAAGCACTACTTCCTCCTGCCTTTCCTTCTCCAAGCACAAATGTGCTTATCTCCTCCTTACCAGCGAAGGGGTGAGTCTAGTAGATAGCAGGTTTGTAGATTAGATGGAGATTTTGGACTAAGAAAACATAAACTTGAAGAAGTGCAAAGTCTGCGGCCTTCTGCTGCTTGACCGAAGTTGCGCACACAGGTTGTGAGTCAAACAGTAAGCAAAAAAAAACCACAACAGCACAAACCACAATGAGGAAAAACACAACCAAAAATCAAGCTACAGCACTGCACTCTCATGTCACTTTTTAACATTTAACCATTTTAATTTTTATTTGCTCAGAAGAAGGTCAGGGAGCAAGATGGCATCTGGCTGCAGAACAAAATAAGGTATGACCTCTACAGGCACGTATTTCCTAGTGTTATATTAACCTCTATTAAACAAATTATTTGGAGAAGCAAAGACTTCCACCGAAGTGTGCCTCCATGGTTTCTTGCGTCAGTTTGAAAATGTTCCAGGAATATCATCTTTTGCTCTATAAGCATCCACACTTGCTTGGGCTTCTCTAGACTGTGAGGGTTTGTGTTGCTAGTGACAGTATTTTTATTCTTAGCATCACAGAATAATTCAGGTGGGATGGGACCTTGTGAAGTCACGTGGTCCAACCACCTGCTTAAAGCATAGTTAACCTCAAAGTCAGACTGAATAGCTCAGGGCCTCATCCACTCAGTTGCTGGATACTGCCAAGGATGGAGGATCCACAGCCCCTCTGGGATCATTCCAGTGTTTAACCATTCTCACCATGAATAAATTTTTCCTTAAATCTAACTACAGTTTCCAATTCCTCAGCGTGGGTGCATTGCCTCCCATCCTTCCCTTGTGTACCTCTTAAGAAAAATCTGTCTGTCTTTCTCTATATTTTAAACCAGAGCAAGCCCTGTCCTGGGCTGTCACCCATCACTCCGTGGAGAAGGGATGAAACAAGATCTCACAGCAGCTTTGCTGACCTGGTTTCTTGGCATTATGCAGCACATCAGTTTGCCTAGATCAGATTGAGAGAAAGGAAGGGATGTGGATCCCTGCTCTGCCATGAGGGAGAAGGACAGCCTTTCCACAGCAGTTGCCCCTTCTGTAGCTCTTCTTCGGGCTACCTGGTCTCACTGGTCTGAGATAGACCATAACACAGACCCTTTGGGAGCTTAAGCCAGTTAGCCCATCAGATTAGCCAGTTTGATAACATGTATCACAGGTCATTAATCTCTACCATTTACTTTATACTGAACCCAGTACCTTCAGCGCTCCCCTCTTTGTGTGTAAGAAAAAAAATGGAGGAGAGGACCAGCCCAGTCACACAATGCTTTCTGACTGAAGGCCACATCTCAGGAAAAAATTGACAGGCTGTCCTTCCCCACTGCTGGCTGGCAGCTGGGGAGGAAGAACAGGAAAGCACTGGGAACGCAGGAAAACAAAAATGTTAATGTCTTCCCTTTTTTGTTTGTTTTTTTTTCTTTCTATTCTGACAATATTTAACTGGGAATTGAGGGTCATCATCAACTAGTTTCTGGCCACTCCTGGCTGCAGGTGTGAGAGATGCATGCTGGCCGAGCGCCTGGGAACAGTATATGCATTTATTTATTTATTATAAACTTTTTATGTCTGACTGTCTGATATCTGGCAGACGGGCCATGGACTGTCTGTTAACACTTTCATTTCAGAGCCACATACAACTCAGCTCTTGACATATTCCCCACTTGCCTCCTCTCTCCGAACCCAGGGTACGCCATGAGACCTCACTTACCCACAGCATTCAGGAGGGGAAGCCTGGGGGTGGGACAGGCTCCTGCAGCGCTTCCAGCCTTCAGAAGGGTTTTATGCAGCTACGTGGGCTACGTGAGCATCATGGAGACCAGGGGAGTCTGGCAACGTTTGCTGTAAAATAAACAATAATACATAAAATGGTTTGCATGAGCAATCTAGATGAGAGCCAACAGAGCCTCACAATCTCAAACAGATACAAGCCATCTCCTTCCCCTGCTTCTCCAGTCCATCACAGCTTACTCGCTTATTGGCCAGGTCTGGCCACAGCCTGTTTGGGATGGACTTACCACCACTCTGTGCCTCGCATTACCCCTTACCCGCCTCATAGAAACCTCTAGCCCAGAATAGGCATAAATATTTTCCCATCCTTTCATGCAATTTTTCCAACTCCTTAGTAGGCTCAAAGAGAATGAAGGTCATATATCTTGTTTTATGCCTGAATTACTGCCAATACACAAAGCAGAAGCTCTGAATGTCGTAGTGCTCAAGGCCCATCTGTGCCCCTGGGAGCAGGGACGCTGCTGCCCTGGGACGTGTGGGAAGATCCCCTCTCTTCTCCTGAGAACTCAGGAGTGGGGATAGAGGCACCCACGAGGAATGGGAATAATGGGGCTTTTATGTGGCATCTGTCTGTCTCACCCAAAACCCCG